CAGATACCCTTGTAGAAAAAAGATCAAGAAAAGACGGCTTTCGTCACTGATCAAGGGTTGTTCTGCTATACGGTGATGCCGTTTGGGTTGAGAATGCGCCTGCTACCTTCCAACGGATGATTAATACGGTCTTCATTAATTAGATTGGGAGGAACGTAGAGGCGTACATCGATGACATGATAGTCAAATCCAAGCAGCAGGCGGTTCACCTTGCTGACCTCCGAGAGACTTTCTCAACCCTCAGACGGCATAAAGTCATGTTAAATCCAAATAATGCGTCTTTGGTGGTGATTCTGGAAAGTTCCTCGGCTTCTTGATTGATCAACGAGGAATAGAGGCTAATCCGGACAAAGTACAGGCGGTAATTGACATGAAGTCTCTTCGTACTGTCAAAGAGGTCCAAAAGCTTACCGGTTGCCTGGCCTCCTTGGGTAGGTTCCTCAGCCGGTCAGGTGAAAAATGCCTTTACTTCTTCCAAGCAATTAAGAAGAAGACCAGATTTGAATGGGGAGAGAACGCTGAGGCGGCGTTCCAAAAATTAAAAGAACACCTTCAGTCGCTGCCACGGCTGGTGAGCCCGTTAGCTGGTGAGGTGCTCTACATGTATTTAGTCGCCTCGGATCATGCCCTCAGTGCCGTCCTCCTAGCTGAGCAAGACGGCACGCAGCTCCCGGTCTACTTCATAAGCTATGTTCTCCGGAATGCAGAGCTCCGGTACCCCATGGTTGAGAAATTTGGTCTCGCCCTATTCATGGCTATCAAGAACTTAAAACCATAGTTCTTGGCACATCCGGTGGTGGTCTATACCGACCAACCCCTCAAGCGGCCAATAACAACCTTGGACTCATCCAGCAGGCTTCTGAAATAGGCTATTGCCATTCAAAGCTTAGAAATCACCTTCGAACCTAGAAAGGCAGTGAAGGGTCAGGCGCTTGCCAACTTCATTGTGGAAATGACAAGGCCGGCTCAGCCGGGCAATCTAGATCAGGTCTGGAAGGTGTATGTAGACGGGAGCTCTACAATGAATGGATGTGGTGCAGGCATAATCTTCAAATCTCCGGAAGGGGATACTTATGAATATGTACTACGGTTCAAATTTCAAGCCTTGAATAACGAGGCAGAGTATGAGGCCCTGCTAGCCGGTATCCGCATGTGTAAGGCGGCAGGGGCAAGAAAAGTGGACGCCTGCTCAGACTCCCAATTGATCGTCAGCTAATACAACGGTGACTATGAGGCCACTCATCCGGTAATGATCAAATACCTGTAGGCGGTCAAAGAGGAGGTCGAGACACTTGACGAGTTCAAACTAAGTCAAGTGCTCCGGTCAGAAAACAATCAGGCGGATGCATTGTCCAAACTGGCATCTTCCGCCACCTGTGATGCGCCTAGGTCAGTCTTCTGGGAAGTCATGGAAAAGAGAAGCATTGAGCATGATCCCATTGGAGTCCTTGACCGAAGCTCTACCTGGATGGATGCCATTGCATCCGGGAATATTTGGCAAACGACACTCTGCCGGATGCCCCTACTGAGGCGGCTGCGTTGAAAAAATGGGCTGCAAGTTTTGAAATGTACTAAGGGGAACTCTACCGGAAGGGTTACCTCCAGCCGCTGCTAAAATGTGTAACTCCTGAAAAGGGGAAAGAGCTCTTGGAAGATCTGCACTCAGGCTTTTGTGCATCTCACATAGGCAGCAAATCTCTAGCCAAGAAAGCCAGGCGGCAAGGGTACTTTTGGCAAACTCTTGAGGCAGATGCCATGGAAATGGTGAAGAGGTGTGACAAGTGCCAGAAATTTGGCCGGCTCATACACCGTCCGGTAACTGACCTGACGGCTATCTACAGCCCGGTTCCATTTGCAAAATGGGGCATGGACATCCTAGGTCCATATACGCCTGCCACAGGCGGCCGGAGATACATTCTAGTGGTTGTAGATTACTTCACCAAGTGGGTAGAGGCAGAGGCGGTCAAGGGCATTAAGACAAAGGACCTCATCTCCTTCATTTGGAGAAACGTTATCACTCGGTTTGGGGTGCCTATGTCCATGGTCTTTGATAACGGTCCTCAATTTGAAACGCCTACACTCAAGAGCTGGTTGGGGGATCAAGGGATCTCACATTGTTTTGCATCTGTCGGCCGTCCCCAAGCAAACGGCCAAGTTGAAGCCTTCAACAAACTCATCTCAGACGACATAAAAAAGAAAATAGAAAGGGCTGGTGGTTTATGGGCAGACGAATTGCCGCATGTCTTATGGGCCATCAGAACAACTGAACAGGGGGCAACCGGTGAAACCCCGTTCCTCATGACATACGGCACTGAAGTCGCCCTGCCAATTGAGCTATATGAGCCAACACTTCGAGTCATGCTTTATGACGAAGAGGCTAATTGGGAGGCCATGCGGCTAGCATTGGACTCACTCCCGGAGCGCAGGGGTTATGCTGCCTTGTGTCATGAGATATACCGTCTGAGAATGACGAGAGCCTACAATAAACGAGTGCATAAGCGGCCTCTCAAAGTAGGGGATTTTGTGCTAAGGAAAATGGAGGCAACTGGTAGGGCAAATGAACAAGGGAAGCTAACCCCAAATTGGGAAGGACCCTATCGGATTACTGATGAAGTTAGAGGCGGCACCTACCGGCTGGAAACTCTAGACGGTAGGCAGCTAGCCAGAACCTGGAATGTAGATAACTTGAAAAAGTACTACTTCTAAGGACTTGTAATAGAGTATATTAATAAAAATGCTTTATTTCAATTTTGTATCAAGTCCTAGCTATGCAATGCACAGCCGGACAGCCGCCTTCTATCAAAGAGCTGACGTCATTTTATTTGCTTAATATATATATATTGTACCCAAGTCCCATGTATGAAACATACATCCGGACCACCATTTTCAATTGTGCAATGCACAACCGGATATCCATCCGTTCATTAAATTTATAAATCAAGTCTTATGCGTAATACGCATCTGGACGTCTGTCTAAGTAACACTTAGGCTTTTAAAATTAACCGTCTGCCTCAAAAAAGGCAGACATTTGGCGACTTTCATTTGGCTGAAATCGTCGAAGAGAACATCTCCCTTTCGGGTGGTACATTGTTCTAGCGATCATAACTCAACCGCGACCGTTGAATGATCCTTTGAATTCAAGATATAGACGACCATTACCCAGAGGCAATACATACGGCGTCTACATCTTGGAGCCCCAGTAGCCGGCTTTTACAAAAAAGCCCTACAGGCGGCGCATAAGACATCTGACTCCCTAGCCACGTGGCCCAATCAGAAGCTGACATGTGTCAGTCCTAGAAAGGTCCAGTGGGATCCAAATCCCATGCTGACACGTGGCACGTTATCATTGGACAGGGGAACTGATCCCCTTGCCCTATAAATAGAGGAAAAATCCTCATTTATTGGGTATTCACAAATTTCCAAACACACCAACCAGAGCATTAATTGCAGATCCTCTCTCTGAATCAGAGAGAAAAACACTTTTACTTCTGTACAAACTCCTTATGCACGTTCTAACTTGATCGTTGGAGGCGGAACTCCACCCAACCGGAGTTTCGTTGTTTTGCAGGTACAACCGGTCAGCAAGCTCAGTCTCGAAATTGTAACTCTCCCGCATGACACATAAAAGACCCCGAAACATATTAAACTACGAGTATTTATTTCAATGTCTTAAACAATCGACCCAAAATAATGATGTTTATCAACCTTTTTTTTTATATTAGAATTAAGCTCTCTATTCCTACACTATATATTTGGAAATTTTGGGTAATGGAAGCAAATGAATTCTTGCCGTTGTCAACTTTCCTTCGTCAATTCAACTATTGTAATTATCATTGTATTTAAGATGACTATATGAGTATGAAATTTGTTATAATAGGGGCCTAAATTATGTTCTTAAAGCAGGGCCTCTAAATTTCCCGAGATGGCCCTGTCAATAATGTAAGAAATTTTTTTAATGAAAAAGGTAATAGATCAACAATGTAAGGAAATAAATAAAGGCAATAAAGCAACATTTGAAAAATTAAATAAAAATACTACAAATCAACACCTAAAACAATAATTCAACATTTAGCCCTATTATATAGGAGTACTAGTTTTGTGCCCGGGCGATGTCCAGATTGTCCTAAACTTTTAAGCTTGAATGTTAAATACAATTATATAACCCCTTTTCATAATGTAAATATCTAAACATACGTATCATATCCCTTATTTATATAATATTGTACTTTTTGTAGTTTTATTTATGAATAGATATCTACTATTAACTTGATATTTTTTATTGCACTTAAATTATTTCTAATGAACTGAAAGTATTTTTACCAAAATAAAATTATATTTTCTGATTAATACTTATTTTTACTGATTTTCTATTTTTTATTAAAATAAATTATAAATGGATCTCATTTTAAAGAACTTTTTAAAACGAATTTTATGATGGAAATAGTACTGAGTTATAAGATATTTATTAAAAGTTATAATTAATTTTGTATATATGAAATATTAGAAGTATATCGATAATAAAACACTATACAACAACTTTATTTTAAGAAAACCTATCCAAAATTAGCTTACTTAGCATCCTATGTGTCACAATAATACTAAGTTATTGCCTACGTGGCTCGACACTTGGCGAAAAACTGGAATGCCAAGTGTCGCTGTCTCGTGGTTTGGCTGCGAGACCGGCTTTATTTATTAGTAATATGATATATTGTAAACTCAAAATTATTGGAGAATTTGAAAAAAAAGGGGGGGGGGGGTAGGAGATACGGCAAAAAATACTTCTTTTGGCTTCTTCTTTTTCTACTTTTATTTACTTTTCACACTTGCCAATCCATTATTTTAGTTGCTAATATCTTTAATTACCAATGTAAAAATTGTAAACATTTGATATTAAAATTATATAAATCAGGTTGAATCTAACAAAATCCCACATGACTAAATTTTTGTTTAGCTGTTATTAATCATCAAAGCTTGTTAGAGTGGAGCATATGAATAGATTAGATTTCAGAATGCTGCAAGTAAAAAATGGAGGAAGTAGATGTGCGTCAATAATACATATCATTCAACAAACTTAATTAATACGCTTAATTAAATAGTGCACAACATAAACAAATTGGAAAACCATAAAAAATTTCACTAGAAGTTCCACCATAATAATAAAATTTATGAACCTGTAATAAGAGAATCTTCCATTGCTTTAGCCATCTTTAGCAAACTCACTTCATACTTCTTCACCATATCCTCATATTTTAGCCCTTGAACAGGATCAACGGTAAAACTCCACTCAATCACACACCCTTCATTACCTAGATCATCACCACCTTGGCTAATCATGACCGTTGCTACATATGAAGTTAATCCAATGTTTGACTCTACTATCTCATAACTTAAACTCTTGTTCACTTCATCAACGGCTATTAATCTCTCCTTGGACAAACTAACCAATTCTTCACTGTTGATCTTTGAATCAAAATCCTTTTTTGGTAGGAAGAAACTCCTAGAAGAACCGACGCAAACTCTGATACAACCAACCTCACCATTAGTACCATGGACACCATAGGAATTGGAAAGGGTAGGAAAATATTTGTGAATGTTGAAGAAATCCTTGAAAAGTGGCCAAATTTGGTGTGGTTTAGTGCTTGGTAGGGTTGTTGACACCTTCCCTTCCCACTTTTCCTCCATTTTTTTGAGGGAGAACAATATAATATGTCCTTAGCTACTTTCAAACTCATTTATATATAGTGAGGTAATGACTTACTGAGGTTGGCGATTTTTTCAACATGGTACGTAAACTGTAAGATTCAATTTGTTAGGTATGATCTTTATCAGAAATTAAAGTTCCCTGACCTATATCTAGTTGCACCTTTATTATATATGTAACCAACTTATACGTGGGATATAAATAGAGAAAGTAGTAAACAAAATTCTCTATCTTATTCACTTTTTTTTTATCTTCACAAGAGTATCTCATTTTCACGAGCTTCTCATTTTCATAGCTACTATGAGTAATGTAAATATATAATTCATGTAGTAATTTTACACTACTGAACTATTTTTGTTGTAATTTAATTTCTTTTACTTTTCTTTTAATTGCTAAAAAAAAAAGTAATAAGTAATCAGTATTTAAATTCTTGAAATTCCACAAAAATAAACATTACAAACAAAAAAATAACGTTATAAACATCGCTTCAATATTAGTTCATTATCTATTACGAGTATTAATTCGACTATACCAACACTAAAAGCACAACAACACATGAACTTCATGGAGTAAGAAATAAATTTTCTACCAAAAAAGAAATAAAAAAATATCTATTAATTGGTTCACCCGGCCATTAAGACATAAATATCTACTAATTGGTTCACCCATTAAGACATTATTATTAATTATCGATCTCTAATGAGTAATGGTTGAACTAACCACGAGGTAGATGTAACATTCTATAAAGTAACCTACAATCACATTTATTTATCACTGATTATAATATAATTAATAATCTTAATTAAGTATTTTATTTACTACAAATATTAAGTTTCTATTTAGCTTAGACTTTATACTTTCCAAAACAACAAAACATATATTATTTGAATATGTAGAGCTTTCCCAACTATTTCCTCCACCATTCTTCTTTTTAACCGATGAACAACTTATCGATGTTTTCACTAAATCTTTGAGAACGACAATTCTTCCACTATTCTCTCTCTTGACGAATGAACAACTTGCCGATATTTTCTCTAATAATTAGCAAAAAGTGTTGATTAGTAATCAAGCCAATGGTTGATCTTAGCCGTATAAAAACACGTGTTAAAATCTTAGCAAGGTCTCTAGGTGATATCATACACCATCACCACACTCAATCATGCCGGTCAATGGATGTACACGTGCCAGTCAACTATCCGAAGGAGTATGAATTTAGTTGTAGTAGTAGTCCGGCATCCCCCGTGCACGTGATCAGAAGGTCCAAAAGTAAAAGACAGTATTACCCTCGTTCATTATGCTACTACAATCACAATTATCAACACCATGATGATGCCCTTAGAATTACGAATGGTACATCTAAAATTATTACAATGGAGAGGTATGGTGATTGTAATGTTGATGATGATTATTATGATTTTGACATGAATTGTGTGGATAGTGCAGCACAAGAATTCATTGATCGATTTTACGAAGAGTTGAGGTTACAAAAGTTTGCTCTCTGTGTGGACTGTATCCATCATTAATAGTCATGTTAATAAGTGTAATTTTGATTGGTGACAATTAGATCTTGATAAAGGAAGGATTAAGGAGAATGTATTGTCCGTCAATTGATTAAAAGGGGATTCGTCATCAAGCAAAAACGAGCTTCTGTAGAGTATCAAATATATATCCTCTCTTTTTTCAATACATCAATATTAGTATTTTATGTTTCATCTTTTAATGCTTTAATTTTGTAACAATGATACTAAGGCAATATGTTTCATCTTAAAACTTAATATACGTAGCAATTTGTAAATTGTAATACAACATGCTTGTTTTAGATGAGATCATTTCACAATCATTTGTAGTGAGAGGTTAAAAAAACTAGTAACTCATTACAAAGTAAATATCACTGCATGTTCACTATGCGTAGATTGATGTTAAGGCTTAAGGATCTCAAATATAGCGAGAACTCACGTAATTTGAATATTATAACCTAAAATATTACTTCGCACTTACTTGGTCACAACTTTCAAGCTCAAATCGAGTTTTCAACTAAATAGCAATATATTAATCTCAAACTAAACTCGCCTAGTTGGCCAAGCCAGTTTCTATACTAATTGAAGAAAATAAACCACCTAAATTTTTGTTATGCTAATCTATGAAAGCTCCTTTCTTTTTTTTCTTTTTTTTTTTTTTTGTTCCCTTGCGATGAAAAAAAGGTACAAAAATAAACAATACTGGAGATTCGTGATTCATGAAAAAAAGAAACTAACCTTTTTTTCCCCGATATTAAAATGCAAAGTACTCCTTGTTTTTACAAACTAAGTGAACTACAACTACCCCATTGTTTGACTGTTGTTTCCTTTGCATATACGGAGCAAATGACTTGACAATAAAAAAAACATATAAAATCCAACAGCTAGAAACAGTGGGTCAGAGGTCCTGAGTTGGCCCAGTACAACCCATTCCAACCTGTTTAACTCGCCCTAGCCAGCTCATTAACTAGGCCTCATGGTAGGCCCATAAAACTGAACAGTCATGTTCGGTTTGTAAATGATGTACGAACTGAGCCCAATCAACTTCCTTAAGATTTTTGGTGGTTCCATCGGCTTCTTTTTCCGGTTTAACAACAAATAATGAAATAACTAGTATTTAGGCCCGGACGATGCCTCAATTTACTATATTATTTCTATGATAAAAATCGTTAATAATATTTAATCTTTATTAAATACCATGTAATATGGTAATAGCTTAGTGGCTAATACTTTATAGTTTAAACTTAAGATCGTGGGTTCAAATCTTATAAGAACCATATTTGAGTAGAAAAATAAGGAGAGTGCTATGTGGCAAGTTCCACCTAAACTTGTTTAAGAACGCCTTTTAATATATAGTATAGATAGGTAACAATGTCAGTTAAATAATTTTAAGTAGATTTTTAATTGATTTTACCAAGACTTCATCACTAACTTCTTCATCGAATTCAACAACTTATCAACTTCAAATTTAGTTGACTACTAATTTAGGACCCGTGCTACGCATGATAAATTAAAAAACATTTAGTTATTAATGTACCTATATATAACAAAGAAAATTTGATAAAAGACAATTACTTATTAACCAAACAATTACTTGTTTGGTTGGATGCTATTTTCCTTGGAAATGAAAATTTCTAGGCAATAGCTAAAATGTGTTGTGTTTGGTTAGAAATTTCTTGGGAAATAAAATTTTTAAGGGAAATGTAAATTCCAACATAGCATGGGAAATAACTCACCAAGCCCCCCTTAGGTGAGTGAATCCCTACAATACATAGAAAGTTATTTTTTAGGAAATACTAATTCCCATGAAGTCAATCAAACACTTTTATTAATTTTTTATGCAATTAGCAAGGGAATTAACTTCCCATGATATATGATTTCACGTGGGAAATTATTTCCCATGTTAAACCAAACAAGCACTAAGTATCAAAAATCAAACATAAAACATACTAGCATAAGCGTACGAATTATAGTAATTGTTAGTTGCTTAATAAAGTATAGGAATTATATTGTATCTTTTAATTTAACTAAGTATTACTTCCTCCGTTTTTTTTTTTAAAAAATTCATCAGTTTGACTTAACATTATTCACATATCATGTTTAACTTAATTTTTTTGCTATCATAAAATAAATAAATTTTATTATATAATATATCATTAGATTTGTCACAATGTCTACTTTCATAATATATAATTTTGTTACAATTTTTACTAGTAGACAATTAAAATATTAATGGTCAAAATTAAGTCTTGACAAATGTGCCGGTCAAACTGATACATTTAAAAAAAAAACAGACACAAACTATTGGGAGTCCGCACCCAATGTTTCGTGCCGGCGGAGGGGATGACGATGACGACAGCAATGGTTGATGACGGCGATGACGATGACGATCGATGGTGGATGACGATGACGATGGCGATGACGATGACGATCGGAAAGTGGATCTTGCAGCAGCAATGGTGGATTATTATTTTTATAAAATAAATTCTATTGTGGTCTTGCGGCAGCAATGGTTTCGCTTTCTTCCGCCAATTCATGGAAACTTGCAATCTTTTCATTTTCTCAATTTCCAGGTTCCTTTTCATTTCTATCTTACTTTTATTCGTATTATTATTTTTATAAAATAAATTCCATTGTCTGGATGATATCATCTACAAGTTGGATGATATCATCTATAAGTTGGATGATATCCTTTATAACTGGATGTGTATTATGTATATCAGCCAACAAAACGAACATATCATCCAACTGATGTTCGATATCAGTCAATATTAGGAACATATCAGACATTAATAAAATCATATCAACCAACAAAATGAACATATAAGCCAACAAAAGATACATATCAGCTAACAAATGGAGCATATCATCCAACAAAAGATACATATTAACCAACATAAGGAACATATCAGCCAATAAGTGAAGCATATCAGCCAACAAAAGGATGAAATCAGCAAACAAAAGCAATATGTAAACCAACAAAATAAATATATCAGCTAACAAAATGAAACATATAAGCCAACGACAAAAAAAATATATCAGCCAACAAAATAAAGATATAAAGCTAACTAAAGAAACATATCAGCCTACAAATCAAACATATATATAGATGATAAAGTTGTTATTTAATATATAGATGATATATATTACAAAGTTTAAATCACGGCTTTTTTTATATATAGATGATAAAATTGTTATTTAATTTTAAATCAATAACATAATACTAAAACAGACACCAGGAATGACACGTGTCACTTCTTAATGCTGTTTTTTCCCTCCAAAACCCCCCTCTCCCTTTTTAGCATAAATATTTTTTTTTTGGAATATTTGGATAATATAACTATAATAATATATTATTCCTAATCTTATATATTATCTTTATAATACTACCTTTGTTAAATATTAGTTACAACTTTGGAGTATTATTTGTGAGATATAAAATATTTCAAAGTTGCAACTAATATTTAACGGAGGTAGTAATTGTATTCCATTTT